TGTATACCACCATATCAGAAATTCTGTAGCTGAGGAGGACCTAGCATAGGGGCATGGAAAAAGATAATTCTGTATTTTAGAGAGGAACCAGGAGACTCTGGGTACCAGGGCCAAGTGAACCATGGGTTTCAAGTTGAGAAGCTAAGATTGCTGTTTTGAAGTGGAATTTGAAGTTAGTATTTTCCTCTTCTTTTTGTAAAAATCATTTTAAAACAACAAAGAAAATGAGAGGTATACAGGAGACTCCATTTTTTTATGAGAGTACATCATTCAAAACTCCAGTGCATAATGCCAAAGCTTTGATGAGCAATGAATTATCAAGTGGAAGTGCTTATTTCAGAATTTGGGAAGACAATACAAGTGGATTTTAGGAGTCAAAAATAAAAAAGAGCTTTTTCAAAGGTGATGGGCATATCCTTGGTTGTAGAAACAAATAGTTTAGACCAGCAGGAAAAGTGTGTCTGAATGGGTGGACTGAGGTTTCCTGTATAGTAATGGTTCTGAGAAGCACAGGAAGTCAGGTTTAATGAGTAATTTGTGGGTGGCTATGCTTAGAGTGGAGAAAAGTAGATTTTATTATTTGAAAAACTTCCACATATACCTGTAGCCCTTTCCTATGGAAGAGTAAAAAGTATAATAATGTGAATGCAAAACTCTTAACCTAAGTCATTTTCCTCAATATGTAACAAAAAATTGGCTTGCTCCTGTATCTGAAAGTAATCAATGAAGGAAAATGTAGCCATATTCAAAACAAAGTAATGAGAAAAGAGCATCAGGAGAAAACTACTATGGTTATAAAAATAAAACAGTCTAAAAAGTGTAAACAAATGGAAAGTGATAACCAAGTATTTCAGAACTACAATTAGGAAGATGGTAAAAATTATCAAATATTTAATCTTGATTTAAAAAAGAAAAAAGTGAATAAAGAAGCAAAGAAAAACATGATGCAATTTTTGAAAATAAATACAACATAACATTGTCAGTAGGAAAAAGCCCTGTATACTCATGAAACCAATACCCATTATTGACTTGTACAAAATTGTTTATTACTAGCATTGT